ATGCATCAGCACTGAACTGCGCAATGATGTTCATCACCCCTTGCCAGAAACATCGAAGACAAGGTCGTCCAACACCGTATGGAGTTGCGCGACTTGCGGCTGGGCCTTGACATGGGCGGCCTGCACGGCAACACGGACCGGCCGGGCTACTTTCAGGCCTGGCTGGCAGTGCCTGACGCCTTCCTGCCCCTCAAGGGCACAGGGCACCGGGTCTCCCGCGCGGACGACAAAGAGCAGCTGAAAGCTGCCAAAGTCAGCGATTTTGCGGCTTCCGAGCTTTGGCGGTTGCAGGGCTTTGCGGCGGACAGCTTGCCCAGTGCCTTGCCCGAAGCAAGCTTCGTGGTGCCGTCAGCCAGGGCCACGCTTAGCGGCAACGAGAGCCGCAAGAATTTCACGGACGTCCAGGAAACGGCCCAGTGGCTGGCAGGGGAAGAGGCGTACTGCAAAGTCCTGAAAAGTCTGTTCAGATTTAAAGCTGCATTTGGCATTCTTTCCCCGTTTGTTTCCTGACGCGGTTAGCGTGGTTTGTCGGTTTGCTGGACGAAGGAGCACTAAATTCAGTTGTTCGCTCCTTGAGGTGAAAGCAAGCTGAAGCGTGCTGTGGTGATTCACACCACTGCCTACTGTGGCTCCCTGGAACGCGCTTGTGTTCAATTGGGTGTGCCGGTTTGGTCGTTGACCGACAATTCGGTGTGCCACTCCTATGCCGCCATGACTGTGGCGAACATGCTGCTGCAGGCCGGGCCACTGCAATAGCCACGCTTCATAATTGCCACACTTTGGTCATTCGGCCATGGACATCGGCCATAGGCAGAATTGTCAAACCCCTCACATTTCGTTGGCCCCGACAATCTATTTCGTTGGCCCCGACGATACATCGTGTTCGCTTGTTGCTCCTCTTCTTCTTGTATTAATTGACGCTTGCCGTGTCCCTTGCGCCATAAGGACTGGAAGAGCCAGAGCGGCTGCATGGCAAAGGCGCAGCCGAAGTTCAAGGCTGAGCCTTGCGATGAGTCGCCTGTGCTGGTGGAGTCTCCAAGCCTGGTGCTCTGCTCTGTGTCAGAGCAGTGCCTGACCATCCCCGCTGATGTTCGAGCCAGATACCTGGCCTGCCCGGTTCGTGCGCCAGAATGGAAGAGTCTGCTGGCTGCTTTCGACGCAAAGTGGGGCAAGGGCTCGGCAGCGCAACCCGCCAGCAGCACGGGGCAGGAAGCTGCCGCTGCAACGGCTTCGACTTCCACTGCGGTCACGGCTGATGCTGGGAGCGGTGCCGAGAGCGGTGCCTTTGACTGGGGCAGCGTGTTCCCAGATGAGCCCAACACCAGACCCGAGTTCATCACCAAGTACGGGTCCGAGGAGGGCCACGCAACCTTCTCCTTGGGGCCGACCCTTGCGGCCACTGTGGTGGACGGACCCAAGCTGTTTCTGATCTCGACTGGCGACAGCGAGGTGGACACCGAGCTGCCCGTGGTGACCTTTGGGGCCGGCACTTGGCTTCTTGACGCCAAGGCTGCAGCGTACGCGCAGGACTCGCAGCTTTGTAACCAACGTCGGTTTCAGAAGGTTCCAAAACAGCCTCCAAGCACTTTGCAAATATTGCGCCAGGGGCTCAAACCACACCTGAACGATCAAGCAGTACGCAGCGCTATTGGATCTTTCCCCTCCACCCGCAGCTTCAACCTTCCCCAGTTTCAGATGTTTCTGACAACTTTGGTATTTGAAACATATTGAAACCCCTGTAAAAGGAGAATCCGCACAAGGGATACATCTTCAAGCTGGAGTCTGACGAAGAGCTAGTGGTGCTTGAGGCAGGGAACGGTGTCCAACAACCGCAGTGTGCTCTCTTATGCTTCAAGCATTCATCCCAGGACGAGCATGGACGTGACGGAGACCCGTGCACTTTGAGGGCGGCGCTACAAGCCGTTGAAAAACGAGGTGTTGTTGATTTCGAGCTAGCAGGACACCAGTGCTCCCGCCCAGCTGAAGTGTGCCAAGGACAGGAGGAGGATGACAGGCCGCAAGTTTAAACTATGGGACTTAGTTTTTGTGTTTGTGTTTTTTGGCAACCCTAGCGAATTTGGGTCAGAAAAGCAAACAAGCCCTGACGCAGGTTCACGGTGTCTGTCAAGGACAGCAACACAATGCTATGGCGACCATCCGCAGTGCAGTTGAAGAACGTGAAACAAAAGAATGCGGGTTCGTACTTCGAAGCCAGACAGGTCCTGGCCTCCGACGCCCTGCGCCAGGCCTGCCAAGCCGGGTGAACAAGCCCAAAGATTGAAAGGTTCCATTTGAGGGGTGTCCTCCTAAGTCTTCGGCTCGGATTCTAAATATATCACTTTGTTTTCTGGGCAAGTGGACTCTTTGCAGCACCTACCCGGTTGGTCAGAGAAGCGTCCCTTAACGGACCTGCGGGCTACAAACGGTTTGTCTTTAAAGGTCCCTCTCTGATCAACATAGTCAACAGTGTTTCAGCATCAAGTCATTTTCAACTTTCTATTTGCCCTTTCTGGGGGGGGGGGTCGCGCCAGGTGTGGCGCTTGCGGATGTATGAGACGGAGCAAATTTTGGGGGCAGCGAAGCCTTTGCTTTTCCTTCGGGCCAAGCTTGTGCTGCCAGAGGGGCAGTGCAAAAGGATCATTTAGTGCAATTTGCAATCCAGGGTGTGATGGGCACAACTGTCAAAACAGTAAATAGCAGTAATCAAATCAAGATATCACCCCTTTTTTGGTTTACGGTTTTCATGCCCAGCCAACTCAGCTGAAGCGCTGGCCACACCAAGCAACAAGCAAGGATGGGTGATTTGCCAACCGCACGGCATCAAGTTGGGGTTTTGCGCAGTCCCAAGGACTGCGATCATCGCCACGGGGCCATGAGTCTTTCTTAAATCACGAGCTCTGGGAGAAAAAAACTCTTTGCACCCACCCCAGTGTCTCCTGCAGAGGTGGCCGCGCGAAGCAGCTTGCAGACGTCCTGCGAGGGCAAGTTTCCACGGTTTTGCTTAAACCAACGACTTGTTCATTTTAGCTTGCTCGGCCCAAGGTCTCTTTGAGGTGATTTGAAAGGGCCCCCTCCGATTGCAATGGATATGTTGTGGGTGGATAGCGACTCCCAGAATGCTGTGGAGTTCAGTGAGCCGCCCCCGCCCGCATCCCAAGGGTTCCATTGCATCACCCCACAAGGGCCTGATTTGAACAATGTTCAAGTATGGAGACCGGCTTTGGCTGCGCCTGTGGAAGCACAGGGCGCCGCATCCCAAACTGAGAGGACACTGGGTTGAACAAGTGGTCCGTTTGGCTTCAATCAGTTTAAATGATACTCATCCTTTCATGGTTATTTCTTCACTTCACCCTGCCAGGACTCCACCGCCAAAGCTGCGCCGGCTTGGGCCATTGACCAAATCTACGCTGACGCGGGTAACGGCGACGAAATCAAAGGCAAGACCGCCTGCGACACCAGCCCGCCACGAGACTGAAGAAGATGACGAGTCTACTGATGTCGAGTGGGCAGCGCTGAGGAGCGAGGAGTCCCGCAAGAAGAGCTGGAACGAAGGCTTCGAGAGGGCCCTCAGGCGGCGTGTCAACAAGGAGACGCTCAATGGCAACGTGGGTGAGGACTCAGACTCCGAAATGTATGGGCCAAAGATGGCGCCTGGCGATGGCAACGCGGAGCACGATGGCAACGAGGAGCTGTCGCAGGAGTCCCTGGAGAACGCCGATGGCAATGCGGAGCACGATGGCAACGTGGAGCTGTCGCAGCAGTCCCTGGAGAACGGCGATGGCAACGCGGAGCACGATGGCAACGTGGAGCTGTCGCAGCAGTCCCTGGAGAACGGCGATGGCAACGCGGAGCACGATGGCAACGTGGAGCTGTCGCAGGAGTCCCTGGTGAACGGCGATGGCAACGCGGAGCTGTCGCAGGAGTTCCTCGTGAACGGCGATGGCAACGCGGAGCACGACGGCAACGTGGAGGTGCAGGAGTCCCCGGTGCATGGGCCAGAGATGGCGGGTGGCAATGGTGACGTGGAGGTGCATGGACCAGAGCTGGCGAATGGCGACGGCAGTGCGGAGCTGGCGGCGCCACCGGTGAAAACGCGCCAAAGCACAGAAGACAGGAAGAGGGTTCACAGAGAGGCCTGCCGCCGATGGCATCAGAAATACGTGAAGAAGGGAGTCCTACGCGAGCCCAAAGCTGCTGATGATGGCCCTCGCACCGAGCCCGTTGCTGCTTCGGCAAAAGCTGCCGCTGTTGGCAAGAGCAAGGCGAGGAAGGCAAAGAAGGCTACGGAAAAGCCGGTCGACGCTGTCGAGCAAGCGCTTGCAGCAGAGGGCCTGCCGCCCCTGCCGAGCAACGATTTCCGCAAGGCCAAGGCCGCTTACGTGAAGTTCATGGTGCAGAAAATCGCTGAGGATGAGAAGGACATTGAGCTGGGCCCGAAGGAGCGCTACCTTAAGGCCTTGGCCAGGTGGATGGAATCCCCGGTTCGGGCGGCGCTCTTTGCGGCACGTCAGGGCAAGCAATTGATTCCGTCATTGCATTAGATTCCTGTGATTGCATTAGATTCCTGTGATTGCATTAGATCTGTGATTGCATTAGATCCGTGAATACCTGGGGTGCAACTCTGTGGTGATGACCACAGCCTGACCAAGGGGTGAAAAAAGGTGTGCTCTTTTCCATGTGCCAATTTGCCCACTGCCACCATCTCCCAACATTCTGCGGTCCTCCGCACGCTGGCAGGCGACGCCAGTGGCACCGGCAGCAGTCAGCAGCAGCAGCTGCTGTTGCTGTTGAAAGGGAAGGGGAGAGACCCAAATACTTTGAAATTGGACCCAGTTACCCTGAATTTAACTTCTACTCAACTACAAATTCCTCCTGTTTGATCTGTTTGATCTGTGCTAGATCGGCAGCAAGCGCAGTCATCACAAGCATATAACTTGGAGAATATCACACGAGCACCAAAGGTGTCTACGCAGCACCAACACCTCGTCTTCTTCCCTCGCCTTCAAATACGGCATCTCCGACAGCTTGTCGCGGGTGAAGTGCGCGTCGGGCCCCAAGACCCGAAGCACCTCTTCACGCAGGGCCTCCTGGCAGGGGGTCGGCGGGCGATCGCTTCGCGTTTTTTTGAGTCAAGGCTTTCTAGGTAATCCTGGCCTCATGATTTTACCATGATCAAAGTCACCCCCTAAGTGGTGGGTTAAAGGGAAACAACCCCATTTTCTGACTTTGATAAACCCCAGAAACTGTCAAACAAATGACACCAGTAATCTCTCAGACATTTGCTTCCAAAATGAGAGGCCGCTTCCTTTCACCGCGCATTTGCCCAAATGGGTGTTTCAAAGCTTCAAAGAGTAACCAGTGCTGCCTGGTTCTCCAAATCAAACATGAGGCGTCGGTTGGCATCCGCAAGTGCGGACAGCGTTCTCCTGCGCATGCGGATTTTGCGCAAGGTTCAGCATGTTCCAGAGGAGAACATGGTAGGTGGTGTCCAGCCCAGCCAAGGCAATGCCCATCACTTCCTGATTTCTTTGCGCAACGAGCAATGGTTTGCGCACATTCACATCTTGGCCCAACTCTGGATACAACGAGAAAGATATTGTCAGACTCTGCCTCATGTTTAGTCTACCTAAAATGCAATAAATTTCTGAGGAGAGCCCGGACTTGCCCCGATGAAAGCAACTGGGCGCCCCAAAACGAGGCGCCTGACTCAGGGAGCTATACTCCAAGTGGCAAACCACTCGGCAGCGAACATCCAAGTCCGTTGCCGCAAGCCGACAAATGCCAATTTGGCCATGGGTCAAAGCTCCGTACCCGCAGTGAACATCCCAATCCCTAAAATAGACTAAAATGGGTGGTGCACCTATCCCAAAATAGTGGAGAGGTCAGAATAAGGGTACCCCTTTTTCTATATGCTAATAGCGGCCCTCCCCCAAAAAAGGGTGAGAAGGGCACTACTGGGGGGACCTAGTCTTGCGCACAATGGCCACTTCCGGCGCGGCTCGAAGCTCAAGTTGTTGATGGACATTTCCGCGCGCTTGCCCACCCGCGCCACATAGGGCAACTCGTCCTCGGGGCCGCTGAAGTCCTGGTACTTGGCGATGGTGTCCTACCGGATGCTTGGTCCCAGCTGGCGAGGGCAAACAGCGCAATGCTTGGGTGTGGGAAACGTTCCTGGGTGAACCGGATGTCTAAAACGAGTCACTTGCGTACGGTCGGTTGTTCTCAAGCACGTGTTCATCTAGAGCTGCTTAGCGACTTAGTGAAAAATGCATGGGTGGAGGGTGGATGGATGGACGAATGAGGCGACTCAGGGGAGCACGGCCTTACGACACGGTCGCCATCGATGTCACCTTCGCGGCCATTGGGATTTCCTGAAGCGGTGGGTTGGCCTCGCCCGCGCTAGCCAAGAACCAGGATTGCCCATGGCCGGCGAAAGGGCAACACTGCATAATATTACGAAATACAATCATGCCAAACCCAGGAACGGGCTTTGCAGAGGTCAAATACATCTTTAAGCAGGATGCCCTGGGCGTGTGCAGGAATGCTGCTGGCAGTTCTGGCGATGTTGCGACAACTTGGCGTCAGGTCTCAGCTCGGAGTCCAAGTTAACCCAAAATGAGAAGCCCGAGCCGGAAAATCAGCAAGCCCGATTGGCGGAGGTAAGGCATTCGCCTCAATTTGCAGAAGCCTCAACAGATTTCAACGGACAAGGCAAGCGCTGTGTGAAGTGCTTTGGTGCACGCTGTTGCCCAGAATGGTGGCGCAGATTTGCTGCTCTTGTCTTGCCTACCAGCCGAGCCCGTGTCCCAGGATAACTTTCGAAGGTGGTTGGTCCTAGTTGCAGCCAACCTCTGACGTCACAAGGGTGAATGGAAGGGAGTGGATGGACAAACGCCCCTTCCCTTGCTTCAATGGATGTGGTTGCGGCGCAGCACCGCTGTGCGTGATCACACCCAAGGTTTCTTGCACCCTGGCGCCGCGACTCGTGAGAAGCGCAGCCGGTGGCCAATTTGCTGCCGTCACCAAGCCCCATGATCTCGCGCAGGCCCTTCCAGCACCGAACCCTTGATTTCCCAGAAGCAGCGGCACTCAAGGACCTGGGTGGCCAATGGTTTGCCGGCCTGTGTCCCTTCAGACACGCCCATTTGTCAAATAAGACATATACTCCTGTGGCCCCCTAAACCCGGGAAACGGCACGGTTCACCCCCCCTCCCCGAGCTCCCTCTTTAGACACGACGAGGTTGCTGTTCAAATGGCGGGGGTGCAAAAAGTTAAAAAGCACAAATCTCCTGTTGGCTTTGCGCGGGAATGAACAAGCATGATCAGTGTGGGCTAATTGGCGCCCAGTATACGTTTCGCAACAGGCAACAGGCTCGCCATCTCGTCATTTCGGGTGTCTAGTGCGCATCTTCGCTCGCCGATTTTTGTCTTTGTCTGCAAAATGTCTCCTCCACCAGCTGCATGGTGACAGGCACCATAGTCAGGTAAATCTCCTGGAATGGCCAAAGCCAAATCACAACAGCGACCTCACCACCCAAAAACACATCCCTGAGCAGAGTTAAAGGGCATAAAGAAACTTGTCCAATCATGTCAACTTGGGATTACCATGGAATAAAAACAAAGGAGTAGCCCGAGGAGACTGGTACATGCATCTGGAACCAGACAAGCACCCCCTTGCAGCCCAAGAACAAACTGACAAATGAATACACCAACAAAATGATTTAAGTCAGCTCCAAAGATTCTAAACTGTTCAACTTCCACAAAGTCGGGTTTTCTTGCAAAAGCACAAATAGAGTCTTGCTGCCTGAGCCCCCTGTCAAAATCTCGAAAGCGAGCTCCAGCAATACTAAATCAAATGGACACTCAAGTCCACCACAATATCAAACGGAAACTTAAAATCCAAATCTCAAAAGGAAGCTAGTGGAATCTAAAAAACGGCCCAGCTGCTGCTCACGGGAAAACAGCCGGTGCAAGTCAAGAGTCCCCCCCTCCCGCGTCAAACTCACTGCTGCACCGTGATTGCCAACGCTTTGAGGTGTTGCAATTGACCATGCAAGCGCACAAGCACGTCTTCAAGATACTCCAACGGGAAATTGTATGTATTAAACACATACTTTTAGCTGTGGGCGCAAGCACATGCAGTGCAATGGCCCTCTGCGTGCTGCGTGCGTGTCCGAGAATAAGGAATGCAGCAAAAGATGTTTTGCAGTTGCTTCCTTGTCCAAAAGGAGGCCCCCGACTAAACTCCGCGCATGTATATTGGCTCTCAACGCCTTTGCGAGCGCTTGCTCGCTGTGGCAAAAGCGACAAACTCCTCAAGCTCGCGGTAGGTTTTGGAGGCCTCTGGCCAAAGCCTGGGCTGGGCCACCAATACTCAGCTTGCCTGGGTTGAGCTTTTGCTAGACTCAGGTGTGGACCCCTGTCGCAATCATGACAACGCACCCTTGGCAACCTGGACCGAATACCAAGCAAATCAAGGCCACGCTTCAGAGGCAAGCGATCCGCACTTGAAACATCCACAAGGCTTGAAGATGCAAGGGCCAGCGCCTGTTTGTGCGCAAACTTGCTTGGGAGGCATTTGGCCCCAGATCTCCCAGGCTTTGGGACTCATATGAACTCATGACTCACGACAAAGTGGGCAAGGAAGCACTCTTGAACATCAAAACAATGAGCTCCTGGCAGCCTGCAAGAGCCACAAATGCCACACATGGGCGTGGGTCAAAATTAAACCACCAGGAATTGGACCGCAGGTTGTAGTCCAAGTTTCCATTTACCAGGGCAAGCCATTTTGGATACATATCCACCCACAGCCACATGGCCGGAGGCAACCCATGCGAAAGCGCCAAACCCGCACGTCCCCTGGACTCCAGCGAACCCGCCCGTTCGTTGACAACCAGATCTTCTGACCTGGGCCTTGAGCCTGATTTACCCTCAGCTGTTCGTGCGCGGACAGACAAACAAATAGCAATATCATAGCTGCTTGTCATAGAGCCGCTGCGATCCGTTGCGAGTGGTCAGAATAGGGCCTGGCGCTAGTGTGCTTTTGGAGGGCACCTTCACTCAGGCCTCCTTTAAAGGTGAGCCTGACGGCAAACCAAGAACGCCGTTTGCAGTCACCTGAGGAAACAAAAACAAATCGGGCAACTGAGCGCCTCAATTTGCATAATGATACGTTGGTGACATTGGTGTGCATGCTTGTGCCTTGAAAGCAGGTCTGGTCGACAGCGCAAGAGAGCTCTGAACATTACCTTCCATTCAGTGAAGAAGCAACAGCACACTCTCAGTTGCCCAAAGGACCCAGAAGCGCAAGGCTAGCCTTTTGGGGCCACGACTTGAAAATGGACCAAACGGGGGACCCAAAGGTCAAAGAGAGAACTTGCATATGCGTTTTTTCAAACGCAGTGGGCTTGGTCCCGGGTTTCTTGGAGGCGCTATATGGCGTCCAGGGGCTGGATATGGGGCTGCATCATCAGCTGGGCGCTGAGGTAGATAAAGCGAATGCCGCCTTCGGTCCAGCGCTGCTGGGCCTCCGTGGCAGTGCCTGCAACATCGTGGTGATTCATGACAGATACCTGTTGTTGCGGTGGGGTGGGGTGGGGTGGGGTGGGGTGGGGTGGGGTGGGGTGGGGTGGGGTGGGGTGGGGTGGGGTGGGGTGGTGGGGTGGGGTGGGGTGGGGTGGGGTGGGGTGGGGTGGGGTGGGGTGGGGTGGGGTGGGGTGGGGTGGGGTGGGGTGGGGTGGGGTGGGGTGGGGTGGGGTGGGGGGGGGGGGGGGGGGGGGGTGGGGTGGGGTGGGGTGGGGGGGGGGGGGGGGGGGGGGGGGGGGGGGGGGGGGGGGGGGGGGGGGGGGGGGTGGGGTGGGGTGGGGTGGGGTGGGGTGGGGTGGGGTGGGGGGGGGGGTGGGGGGTGGGGTGGGGGGGGGTGGGGTGGGGTGGGGTGGGGAGGCACAAAGATCAAGCAACAACCAAAGCGGCCAGAGCCCTGCAAGCCGACTGAACGCCCATTCTCTATGCCCAAATAAGACCTGCGAGCACCAGCGTGTCGGGAACTGAGTGGGGCAAATCCTTCTGTCTCTGCATAGGTCTGCAAAAACATTGCAGCCACGCATCACCCAGGGAGTCTTCGGTCCTGGCCTTGTGAAAGGCCCAACGACTTGCCCAGGATCGCTGCAGTGAACACGTCGGCCACCCCGGAAACCAAGAGCTCGTGTAAGTCCACCTGGGAGAGCCAGGCATTGAAACGCACCCCGGCCGGCCCTACAGTCGTGGTCGCTGCCGCGTACGGCGGCGAGAGTTGAGAAGCGCGGAGTTGCAAGCACAACCGCCGAAGCTGTAATTATTTCAAATGCGTTGGCCCTGAAGGGTGTTGACGTGAGCACATTATTGGGGTGGAACACCCTCGGCCCAAAATGACTCATGAGTCCAGTGATGCGGAAGACAGGGGCCGCGTGTTGGTGGCCTCCAACACAAAGGCGAAAGGGCAGCGTTCCTGTTGGCTCCAAAATTTTGCCGATCTCCAAACGGCCGCCGAAACGAACCGCGATTGTTCCGTTCGCTCCGCGCCTCACCCTTGTCCAACTTCATCTTCAGGCTGTCCATGACCTGCTGCGCCGCATCTGTGACAGGCTCACAGTAGGAGGTGGCCGACGCAATGGAAAAGATGTCCTGCGACGATGCTGGCCCAGAGCGGGAACTTGAAATCTACAGTGAAATCTACATGCCCCCTGTGTTGCGGGATGCACTAGTGAATCAACAAGATATGGCGAGTGCGGATCAAGAGCAAACTGAGTGCGTCGAAGCCCCCCAGGTTGAGAGGATCAAAAGGAAATGGCAGTTCATTCGGCAAGCAAACAAAACAAATTGCTGGCCGTGCTTTAAATCTGCGGGCACGGCTCTTCCATCTCTTCCAAAAGAACAACCAAGAATGGCAGCCGCGAGACAATCGTAGCACAACCAGCGTGGGCTACGCGCCCATGCGCCAAAAAACAACCCAAGAAGTAGAACCGAGCCGCCTGACATAGGCAGAAATTGAAGGTCTGCCCCCAATCTTGGTCCAACTCTGGTGCCCTCAGACTTGACACATCCTCAAATCCCAGCAGCCATAGCATGAATCTTACTTAAAACAGATCCGGAGGCGCCTCTCCTTCTGAAGCGCTTGCCGAGTTTTCTGCCACTCAGGTCCCGTGGAAGCCAGCTTGGGCTCTGGATAGCCGTTCTTCTGGGCCAGCCGGATCGTCGCCCAGGTGCCGGACGCCTCGCTTCGTTTTTTGGCTCAGGCAAGTGACTCAAGTGACTGAACCGCTGCAGCTGAATCTGGAAATGCCACGTCTAAACTCACTTCCTGAGGAAATTGGCCGAAACCAAATCTAAACTTTTAGCAACATGCACTCGTGGACCGTTGCTGATTCCAGCATCTTCTAGATCCCAGGACTTCCTCGACCTCGCTTAACTCTGTCTTGCAAACGACCTGGTTTTACCAGTGGTTTGCTGTGTTCAGACCGCTGGCAGGGTCCCGATAGTTTTGGCATTGTAACTCAAACAGGCGGAGCAAAATTGTTTCAACCAAGCGTAGCGTGAACACAACATGAAACGACCGTGAAAAGCCCGTGAATAAACCGTGAAAAGCCCGTGAACGCACTTGAAAAACCCCTCGCTTTGCAAGAGCTCGTTTTCGGAAAGGTGTGACTGCAATTGTGGTTGCGTGCTTTCGACAATTCAGGTTGTAGATGAGACAAGAGAAAATGCGCGCAGAAGTGAATTGGGGTCTTTCAACGGTAACGCGGGGTCTTTGTGTGAAAACCCTAGTTTAGCACGTGCTTTGGAAGGGCTGGGGATCCTCATGTGGAAAGCACCGGAACACCCACTTCTGCTCCCATCTTGCAAACCGCCCCTTTGAGGAAAACCAAATCGGCAGGACCACTGGCTGTGCGAGAGCGCAGGCCACAACCCGAAAATACCCAAAATGGCTGTGGGTCAAAAATAGGTACCCGAAATGGGTTGCCCTCGTAAATCGAAGGCATGGGCTAAAATCCAAATATAATGAAGCTGTACCCCAAAACAGATCGTCCCGTTCTCCTTCCCAACGTGTGAGCCATCGCGGGGTCCCGTTTTTCCGTCCAATCGTCCAAGCCACGAGGCCGTTGGGATACCTGCCGTTGGCAAGAACTTGATCCATGCGATTCGCGAAAACCCAACACGTCCCTTGCAGAACCACCAAAAACAGCATACCTGGAGCCTCCATGACCCTTTGAAAATGGGTCCATGACCCTTTATTCTGGGTAATGACCCCATTTTTTAAAGGGTGCGTCATGGAGACTCCAGGTAGGGAGGATTGTTGGAGCAATCTAGATGTCCTAGACTTCCCCTTTTGGTGGGTTTTTAACATCACCTTTTGGGGCCAACTCGAAATGAGTTTCCCTTAATTGAGGTGATGTTTGAAGGGAATATAGGGAACTCTTGGCCTGCAAGGGCTTGATAAACCTTGAGGCCAAACAAGCCGCTCTTGGTGGTCTGAACTTCCTATTCCTTGGGCCCTCGGCACTGGGCATGGCCGGTTTGCTCAGTTGCCCAAAGGACCCAGAACTAAAAGGTTAACCTTTTGGCACCTCTACTAAAAATGGACCAAACTGGGAAAACCAAAAGGTCAAAAGGTCGGCTTTGGACAAGTGAGTTTGTGTTTGAGCTGAGGAGTCTAGAACATTCTCCTCCATTTGTGTCTGCCTTTGTTGGGAGACCCTCTTTTTGTGGTTTTCAAAGGGGAGAACCACCCAACGAAAAAACAGAACAAAACAATTGCTGCTGATGCTTCTTTTTGAAGTCAGAGCCCACGCGTGTGCGGCGCCACGGGCGCCTTGAGCGCCGGCCCAAACCCTGACAAGTGAGATTCAAAAACCTCTGCATCTGCTCAAGCCGAGAAATGCGGATCCAGCACAAGGTCCATTTGCACGTCACAAACGGCTCGAGGGTCCAAGTCCGGCCTGCCCTCGTTTTGGAAGACCTTCCGCCACTCCCGGGGGTCGGAAATCATCACGGAAGGCTCGTTGAGGATAGAGGTGTTCACGATGACCCCGTACTCCTTGTAGAGGTCCTGCTCGTCAAAACCGTTTGCCCCCCAGCCTTTTGGCCTAAGAGTTTGTGGGTTGATGGCAGCCCAACCTTTGCCCCCCCGTTTTGGGGGCAATCCAACCGCTTTGCCTCCCCTTCCCCCCCAAACAAAAATACAAAAAAGAAAAAAAGGCATGCACACACACACACACACAACGTGCCTGCAAGGCTTCACACATGTTCTTTCCTTACAAGGGATCAAAGGGACCCCGTGTCGCCCCAAGTTTTGGTTGCCTTGTAGTAGTGGTTGATCTTGCTGTAGCCATAGGACGCAAACTTGGGCAAAGCACCGATGACCTCAGGTCTGGCAAGCTGCAAAGCCTAAGATTCTTCATGGATGCATCCAAACTACCTGCTTTATATACGCGGAGTTGGATCCACCAGCTGTTATTTGCATAATTCTGAATCTAGCCCAAATCTATGCTTTAGGAGGCCCCGAGTCAAAGGAACCCCCCACCATCCTCACAAGAACGAATGCGCTCCCACGAATGCGCTCCCACGCGCGTTTGACAAAATCATGGGGGACAAGTGTTCTCCCAAAACAAGTACCTCAGATGCCCAGTGGCCAGCGGAACAAAGGGCATCCTTTCTTGGTTGGTTGACTTTAAAGGGGAACCCTCCCCCCAAAAATGTATATGAAAAAAGGCGCCACTGGGCAACTTGGGTAGACTCTGTTGAAAGTTGGATGGATGCTCTGCTTCTTTGAGGAGCAAGCCAAGCTCGCCTTGCGGGGAAGGGTGCCAGGGGTCAGCTGAGAGGGGCTGCCTGGCCGGCTCGCCGCTGTGGCCCGGAGCTCATCAACCCCTAGAGCAATGCTTGGACCCAAAGAAGCCCACTGCCTGTCTGAACAGCCCATCAAAAGGCCCAGGAGCAGGCCAGGTCGGGCCCGGCACCGCGGAAAAGGGCAGGACCTCGACAGCACGAAGTTTTGTCAGAGTGCCCGAGGTCGTGCTCCACCGAAAACAGGGCTGTTTTAGGGGTTGATCTCCCATTCTTTTCGACCGAAATCTGTTCAAAGCTGTTTCCCCGGGGTTTTGGGTGGTTTGGCAGAAAGAAGGATGCCTGGAAAGAATGGGGAAGGTACCCCTAGAGCAGGTGGAACTGGAACCCACTTCTGTGATACAACAAAAAGGGCCTCCCAAAGACTAACCGCCTCCCGGGTATCACTGAAGTGGGCACCAACCCCTTGATCCCACAACCCGACCGAAAATGACGTTCTGGAGGGCTTAGCCTGCGTGAATTAAAGTATATATGGCGCGCGCGTTCAGGGGTACAACCTTGAGGGACGCCTGGTGCCTTTGGATTTGGCGACAGCACCGTCAACATTCACCATCGTCTATCAGGGCTCCGCACAAGGATATGGTCCTCACAGGGGAATCAAACGAACCAAACTCCACAAGAGCGTTTGCGCCGCTGCCAGATCGCAGGAAAAGACAAACTATCCGTCCAACTTTGGTCTTTCTTTGTGTAAACTATCAGATTTAGCGCGCTAGTCGCTAGTTTTTTGCAGCACCAACTCCGAAAACAACTAGTAGGGGATATTGTCCGCAACATCTCGCCTACGCTTCTCTGGGTCAAGGACCCCTTCCACATGTTTGGTTTCACTTTGGCTTTCGATGCGGGTCAAAGTTTTGTACCCAGGTATCCCATCTGATTTTCCATGTCGGCAAACATGCAAACTATCAGCACGATCAGCGATTTGGCACCCAGTTTGCCGCAAAAGCAAGGACCATCCTTTACACAAACCGGACAATCAAAGGAGGCTAACCTTTCAAATGAATATCCTTCCGGGGAACCTGTTTCGGGGGTCAGATCTGCAACGGCCATGGGAAAAGTGCTCGCCTTGTTTGGTAGTCCCTTCCAAATCCAAACAACTTGAAAAGGAAAGCCGCAGTGTACGCTGCAAGTGTACCCCTGTGGTCCGTCTCAAAGTATGAAGCCCCATAGTTGTAGTCACAAACCAGGCATGTCACATGTCGAGATGAGGGTTCGGTCTGATATCCACTTTAAACGGCGGCACGGGGTCACAACGGAGCCTTTTTTTAGCCAACCCCCCCGTCAATTTGCAGCGCCGCCGTCTGGGGAGCAACCCCGGAATATCGCCCCAACGTTCGGAACGAGTGTTGGGATCGGATGGCACTCTGCCCCCGCGGAAAGAGCAACCCCGGAACATCACTCAACCAGGTCGGCCATACCCCTGACGGTTCCTTTCGTGATCATTCCCTAATCCTAAACCCGGTTCTGCGCTAGAATCACACCAATTGTCTCCATTGTTTTTTGTTGGGGGGGGCTGCTCATGATTTATGTGTCAAAGTAGGCCGGGTTTTCGGGCCAACAGAAACCATGGCCGTCTCCTGCGTCATTTTTTGCGAAGCCCCAAGGCCTTTGGGGCCAACAAACATGGCCGCGACGGCCAAGAAATCCCAAGGCCTGAAGCAGGTGGAGCACCGCCCAGCTCGCGCCTTGGCGCCATCGAAGCCCAGTTTCAGCGCTTCCGCGGCCGAGCGCCGCAGGGGAGACGCCATGGCAAGGGATGAGTCTGCGACTTGGGCCCACTGCTGGGAGGGCCGGGATAGTCATGGAAACTGGGGGGGGGAGGGAGGGGGAGGGAGGGGGAGGGAGCCCAACAAAAATTGCTGTCAAGGTCTTATTGAGGCCATATTTAGGGCTTACTTGGGCTCCCTCCCCCTCCCATCCCTCCCCCGAGCCCCCAAACGATAGGTACCAGGCCGCCACTTGTCGCCCGTGCATATCAAAAACGGGTGGGAGATCCTGAATTCTTAGTCCGTAACCCAGAGGACAAAGAAGGCAACCAGGGAATCACCGTCTGGCGTAAGGATTTAGGGCCCAGCAGGTTGGTATGGAACAGGAATCAACCTTCATTTGCTTAAGCCCCCTCAAAAAAAGACATGCTTCTGGTGGTGATAGGTCGGTTCTCGTTAGATCAAGATCATGGTCTCAATCTGCTTCTAGGGCTTCTGGTCTTTTGCGGCTCCTTCCAAGTGACCCTGGTGGGGGCCCAAGAGCTCAAGGGGTTCGAAGGGAGCACCAAAGCTCACTTGCCCCGGGACCAAGAAATAGAAGGATAACATAGGACAACCATGACCTAGGTCCTCCAGTAGTAGAGGGTAGAAGAAGGGTACCGTTTCTTTTTTCTGTAGTCTATTTTTAGTAGGGGAAGCCTCCCCCAAAAAAGTAAAAGGGTAGAAGGGCACCTAGCTGGGGGACCTAGATGACTCAAAAAGCTGTTTGGAAAACCAAGAGGTGACAAGGTCGGCTCACCCACAGGCCGGGATCCGACCTCCTGGGCGGAGACGCCCTGCGCGAGCGGACCCCGAGCATCTGTGTCCTGTAGGATTCGGGATGGGTTTTCAATTGGGGGGGGGGGGCCTTCTAAAAAAAACACACACATGCCTGGAGCCTCCATGACGCTGAAAAAATGGGGGGCATTACCCAAAATTTTAGGGGTCATGGACCCCATTTTTATTTCGGGTCATGGAGACTCCCAGTAGGCCACTTTGGAGGCGTCGCCGCATGTGCGGCGTGTCGGATACCATAAAAGGAAAGGGGGAGCCCAAGCCGAGGCTGCACAAACTTGCTAACAATAGAACACATGACTCCATTGCTAACAACTTTGCTAACCAATTTGCCACATGTTCTATTATTATCATTGTTCCGTTGAACAAATGATAACAGTAGACTTGGCATTTGTAGCAATTGCTAACAATGGAACAATGAAGACATAACTCTTGAACACAAATTGCTGACAATAGAAAATGATAGGACATAGATGGTTACTCCCCTGACTCTGACCAATAATATCTACCCCACTTTGTCGCATCATTATGAGAATCATATATAGAGAATGGGACAAAAATAAGAAAAAGAGATAGATAAATTGATTAAGCTGGTGGGACAACGTTTGATGTTCCTTTTATTTGTTGTGTTTGTGTCATATCTCTATCCCTTTTTGATGATATTGTTCAATTTCATTCTTGAGACTGGATCCTCTCTTGGCCGGTTGATTCCTGTAGTAGATAATCCACCAGAATCATCCGGGTGCATTCCGCACCGATTGGAAAAGGAACAAGTCCCATCACTTTGTGCTGACCGCAAACATGATAATCCCAAAAGGTGACTTAAAGTCCAGACACATTCAACACATACAACAAATCACATGTTTAACACAAACATTTGAGGGAAACCAAAAACACCAAACATGTCTAACACCAAACACCATAACATAACAAAGAAACAACCAACCGTTCATCCGAGCAAAAAACCGAGAAAAACAAATGCAGAAGGCCTGCGAGTTCCAGGCGCCCAGGATTGCGCGCTGAATGCTGCATGGCTCGGCTAGCTATACATGCGTCTCCATATACCCAGGGCAGGGCTGTGGGGAATGGAACCCACTTCTGTGATACAACAGAAAGGGCTTCCCAAAGACTATTTTCTTTATGTAAAGGGGGATTCCCTTGTATCACAGGAGAAACCCTTTGATCCCACAACCCTGACCCAGGGCAATCCATGATTGAACCGTTTAACAGCGGCGCCGCTGATCTGCTGCTTTTCCTATACGTCGAAAAAGATGACTTCAAGGATTTTCGGGTAAAGGATCTTTACCATGGTGAGCTCGTTTTGCATGCGGACCCACCCCCTCTCCACCCCCGCCCCATGGATGTATTAGAGGGTCAGGATTGTTCTGCTCAATGGATGCCAATTGGAATGAACAGCTCCACTAAACACACCATGGACCAGCACAATCCGGGCTGCTTGAACCAAAGGAGGTTTTAAATTCATGGTCGAGCATCCGCCGGGCTGGCGGCATTGAGCCGGAATCCTCCAGTGTTAAAAACCCTTTGGCCATGTAAGTTTCAAGTGCTCGCCTGGTGGGCGCCCGCTATGAGCCTAGGCTCTCTCCAGTTTTCTGCTCGTGGTGAGGCTCTCACATGAGAGGCTTTGGGGGGCTACCTGGAGACCAAGTTGAAATTGTCTCCACTAGGTCCTCCAGTAGAGAGGTTAGAATAAGGGTACCAACTTTTTCTGTAGTCTATTTTAGTTGGGGAACCCTCCCAACCAAAAAAGGTGGTAAAAGGGCACCTAGCTGGCGGACCTAGTCCACATCAACAATTTCCAGGCCAGATCTTCTGACCGCCGAACTACGCGGGAGCAAGTTGCTTGCTTTTGCACAATGGACAGAACCAGCAACATACGAATAGGGAACAACAACATTGCTGTGGACGAACTCCTTGCCAAACCGGAAGTTGGCAATGGGCAATCGAATCCTTCCAGGTTTCTGCGGTGCGAAATGGATATCGTCCACCCGCAGAGAAGGAAATTCAAAAGAGGACCCTTTGGGTTCAAAAATGGCGACGCCAGGCTAAAGGAAGATGGGCCTGACGGTTGGATCGGAGAGGCTCTTTGGGTACTGAGGGGAGGTTTCTGCTTCAATTAGCTACAGGTCCCGATGAATGAGGGGTTCGAACAGGGACAAGTCTCCAAGCATGTCTGCGCTGACTACCCAAATTCATTCTCAAATCAACAAGGAACACCCATCATTGCACCTATAGTTCACTCATCCAGAACTGGAAACACATTGTACGAAAGGTAGGAGCCTTCCGCATAAAAAGGAAGGCGTGAACATGTTCACTTTGCGAGACTTCGACCCTTTTTCCTGCCCGCGCAGAAGAACACAGTTTTCGCCGAATTTTAACATGCCAGCCACAAGCCACAAAGGGCGGTGGCACCAGCCTTGCACTCGAACACGATTCGAAGCTAAGCCATCGCACCCCTTCAAAACATGAGCAATAAAGCACCTCTTGTTTACCTTCGTTCTTCTCCTGATGTTCATGCCTGTGTGGCGCTTGCTGCGCGAATGAGGGAAATACTGGCCCGGTGCTAAATAGGTCTGGAGAAATCAAACACATATCCATGCCGTACCCTTTGGTTGCCTAAAAAAACATGCTGCTGGTTTGGCACGTTGCTGTTGTTGCATCCTCCGGGCGTAGGCTGGGCCCAAGATCCAGTTGGGATAAAAGACGCAGTTCCCAGTGGCCCTTACTTAATTGTCCATTTTTGAGCTGGCAACGGCATTGGAACTCTTACTTAGTGCATCTCCAACCTCAGTGGTTGACCTCCTTTTTGACCTCCTTTCCGCCCCCGCTCCCCCAGAAAAAGAATAAATAAAAAAGAACAGACAGGTGTTACGGACTTGGTGGCCCTCGAGTTGTGCGCAAACGGTGAATAGGATAGCCCGGGACAGGCCAACTTCCCCTTTTGCGACCACTTTCGGCAAAGGGGGCGTGCACCAGCAAATATTGGCTCGCCCCGGCAAAATGCGTAGCATCCCAGCGGCAATCCAAAGGTCACCGTCTCCCGAAGTGGCCATTCCACTCGGCCATTCAGAAGCATCGTATACAATCCTCGACTATCCCTTGTAGCAATGCCATATAAAGAAAGCCTGAAGAAATGTGTATCTACAAAGGGGGGCCCTGTAAGTTTCTGGCAAACATAACAGCTCCCGCCCAAAAGCAAACCAAAGGAACTCCGCCATCTCTCTTGTTGTCTTCCTTTCTTGACATGCAGGTCACCATGGCCAACAATGGGACATAGCATAAAGAGAGGGACCCTTTCAGGAGTGCCCCACGCTGATGTCCGCTCACATGTCTGGAACCGATGGGTTGGCCGTGATTTTGAAACTGGGGTCCCTCGCAACGCTTCAGCAAGGCGCCGCAAACTCGTGATCCCTACCATCTGTGAGACAGGGAAATCACGAATTCCCTTCTGGGAACAAGGAGTGAATTTGACCAGTCAACATTTGGAGTAGCATCGGCCTCTTTATTGTCGCTTTCTGTGCGGGAGCTTGCCATGTTGCTGAACTAGTTCTAAATTACACAGAGCTATTTCTACATTACACAGAACTATGAAAATTGCTCCAAGCTATTCCTAACTCTGGGGTATGTGGGGAAATACGGGGAACCCCATTTGTTTCATTCCCCTGGAAGAAAGTCCAGTTGTGACCAGCACCCCCCAACAACTGCTTCTTGCCACCAAAATCCCAAGTACTGTCCAAAAACCAGTGATTGGGGGGGTGCTGGGGTAGATTCCCTTTGCAATGTTCCATCCAAGTGGGGAACATACAAGGTATTCGTAGGCAAATGGAGGAAGATGGACAGGTTTCAATGTCATGGATGCCATTCGCCGACGCGAAGCTCTGATCCGATCCGATTCATCGCATGCCGCACTTACCTAGGAGAAGCTGCACGTTTTGATGTTGGGATTTGGTGGAATTCGTTTGCAGGATCTGTTCCCACCAATCTTAAAATAAGGGCACCTCTTTTTTTTTCTGTAGTCGATTTTAGTAGGGGAACCCTCCCCCAAAAAAGCAAAGGGTAAAAGGACACCACAGGGGGACCTAGTGTGTGAGGGAACTCCGCAAAGAAATGCAATGCCACATGTGTTGTAAGTTGAATGGCCACCTGGAATGTGCCCCTTGCTATTGGGACTAAACCCAAGTCTCCGTACCACTTCCATACCCTTCATGTGCGTGGGGTTTGTGAG